GTAAGTGCGAATGTTTTCTCTGGTGGAGGAGAGAGTAAAAATAGGAGCGTAAATTTAGTTTTTTTTTTCTCCTCATTTGTGTTTTGGGATTAGTATCATACAAATCCTCCCTATTTAGCGGATTGTCGCGCAAATGTGAAGGTTTAAACGCATCAAAATTTGCACTTTCGGCTTTACTCAACAAAGATGAGGATTTTCATTGAACTGATGCTTTTTTTTTCTTTGAGTCCCTGTCAGAGAGAGTCATAGCCTATAAACCCTGTAGCTTTGTGTGGATCGATTTTCTCATTATAATTGATCAGCACAGACAGATGTGCGGTTATCAAAGAATCTGAATCACAAATCACCATGCTTATTGAAAACACAGAAAAAGTTATTTATTTTTTTATTTTTAACAGCTTGTTCTTAGAGTAACAGGTGATTTCTTGGCATTTTCACATTGAGCGTCTTACAGCGCAGGGATGAGTGACATTTTTAATTCTTGTAAATGGATTTTTTTTAAATAATTTGTGGTAATTTGTATAATGATATTTAGGAAACGTATTAATGATGCTTTTGTGTCCAAGTGTTAGAAATTTTAATGATGATAATGATAATGATAATGATAATAATAATAATAATAATAATAATAGAAATAAAAATAAAAATAAAAATAAAAATAAAACTGGTAGCCAAAAAGTACCATCTTCGGCATATACAAATAAAATCAGCAAGTAATAAATTGATAATTAGGTACAACTGAAGAAGCACTGATAACGTTTTAGATCAGAACAGAAGTTTTTAATCTTGTAGATGCAACAAAGCCCCAAAAATTGCCATTCCCATGCAAGGGAGCCACATTCTAATAAGTAAAATACATTTTTATTTCTTGTATAAAAACTTATAAATATTATTTGGTATATCACTTGAAAAAAAAATTTTTTCTATAATTAATTTAGATTATAACATATTCCTGACTTATAAAAGCATGACATAGTTGAATATTTACATATTTGATTACTTACATTTATTTGAACCTAAACTGCATTTATTTATTAAATCAGGTTGAGATTTTTAATTTGAATATTATTTAATCATATTTTGGCTATTTTTATAAAATTATTTTAATAAAATTATTTATTTTATCTGCTTTTTATTAAATTATTAATTTATTTGCTTACTTGATACCAAAATGTGTTTATATATATATATATATATATATATATATATATATATATATATATATATATATATATATATATATATATATATATAGAAGTTTCTGGATTTTAAGTATTATGTTTCACTTTTTTCCCCCCAAACATTTCACGCATCCTCAGCACTCGCCTGCAGACCCCAATTGTTTAAGATAATTTACTCATTAATATTAAGTAGAATAGTATTTATAGTATTTTTGGGTATCAGAAACTAGAATAGGATCATGAATGTGCCTTTAAAAATACTCCTGATATTACACTGCAAAACTTTACCTCCTTATCAACCTAAAGCAATATTCATCGAAGCATTCTGTACATCTCTTTTTCAGTTTCAGTGATTTCTCTCTAAAACTTTTTCCATCCCTTTTTGAGTCTGATCTTGCAAGTGACACTCCGAAATCTGAAATTGGCAGAGGCGAGAGTTCTGGGTCCCTTTGAACTGTACAGAGTCTTCACAATTCTTTTGGCTGATGATGCTATGAATTTTTAATGTTTCATTTGTCGACGATCCTCGGGCCCACGCAAGCGTAGCGCCTTGCATTATTGATACGCTGGCACTTGCAGCGTCTGTGTCGCCTTTGTATTGGCTGCCATTCGCTGTGCCCTGAGGGAGAGTTTCTTCTACCTAAAGCCATTTCAGAGGAAGTTGTTTTCAAAGAAAAGCTGGATACACTTCATCCCGCAACTCACAATTAATTACAGTCCATGGGACACGTTCCTCCCTGCTGCCATGTTTCACTTTAGTAAGAGTTATTTTGAGAAATACTATGATTTTTATTTTTATTTTATTTTTTTGTATAGTGGATAGTTTCAAAGGAGGTGGAAAGGAAAGGATCTCTTATTTTCCATCCAAGGGTAGCTGAGCTTTACTCTACAACAGGTGCATTGTCAGCATAGAATGTGTTGAAAGGTTGTGGACGAGTTTCATCTCAATGTGTTTTTGTCTGGATGAAGGATGAAGCAGGATGAAGCTTCTACCTGAGACTTTTCACAGCTGTGTTCATTTTCTCAACTGATAGACTTCGTTTCAGTTTTATTATGTGTTAACAGTGGTGATTGAATGAACAATGTCTTAGTGGAATGCGTCAGTTTTCCTTGATGATTTCAAACTATGTTTTCATAAGAGTAGGAATAAAATAATAAAAATAATAGGAAGAAAATAAAAATATAAAAAATGAAAAAATGTTGTGCCTTATAGTTTCCCACCAGTGATGATATACAGCCATAACACACTGCTACAAGTGTGATATTGTGTTTACACAACAGTTCAACAGCATAATATTTAAAAAAGAAAATCAAACACGGAAACTCTAAAAATCCTTTTGTATGAGGAACTACTTTCTTCGCCATTCATTCACACCTGCAGCTGACGTCAGAACAGCAGAGACCATTGCTACTTTACCACTGTCACTTTAGAGCTAGTATTTGAATGATTCTCTAGCGTAAAAGCTAAAGTGATGACAAAACAGGTGATTTTGCTTATATTTTAGCATTATAAGACTGAACGGCATGAAACGCCATCAGTCTAAAGACATTTCCCTGTATTTTTCTTTTGCAATCAGGAGATCACAATAATTAACCCTAAAAAACCCAAAGCAACACTACCAGACTGCTGTATAAATACAACAATACAACAAACAAAAGAAAGAGATGCACTTAGAAAGTCACTTATATGTTTAATAATGATTTGATCAGCTGTAGTATGAAATTACACTGATTTATTTCTCCTCTAAGAGCTTATAATGCGGTCTCTGTCTTTACCTTGTGGGGAACGTCAACAGTTTTTGCTCTGCTTGATATGACAGGCTGATGGATGCAGTTGCGCTGTATCTCCAAAGTGATATTTAAAACAGGCACTATCCTTATAAATAAACTGCATAGTTGCAATCTAAACAACTACATTCTCACCAAAAAAGCCCTAAAAGTACAGTATGTTGTCCAACAGCAATATTTGTCAAACTAGTGCGTTTATTAATCTGCTCTATGTGGGTGTAGTAATACAGAAGGTTGAAGAGGCTGTTTAACAATTAGGCTGATTAACATAATATATATATGTGTGTGTGTGTGTGTGTGTGTGTGTGTGTATGTAAAATTGTTAATCAGATGACTTTTATTTACATTTATTTATTTATATTCATACAATTTTTAAATATACATAAAAACGATTTTATTTATTCATTTTCAGAATATACTGTACCATTTTAAGATACATTAGATCATAAAACCAAAGACATAATGTTTTAGAATAGACCAAAAATATACAATTATTTAAAAATCTTTGACCTGATGGTTAAAAGAATGTAAAAAAAAAAGTATTTAAGTTGATAACTGAGTGCGTAGCAAGGCTTATTATTAATCAAATTTTAAGTTTTACAGTAATAAATGTACAAAATGGCTTAATAGATCATGATCTTTACCTAATATTCTAATGATTTTTAGCATAAATGAAAAATCTATAAAACGTATTTTTGGCTATTTCTACAATACACTCATGCAACATAAAACATACTGTAAGGCAATTTAACTGACGCTGCAAGGAACTAATCTAACTAATGCTGCTGTACACATAATAAGAGTGACACATATTAAACATGATTAGAATTCAAAATGATGAAACCTTCTAAATAAATAAAATGTGGGGAACATGTTCACAATCCCAAAGCCCATTAGCATACGGTATGCTTAAATGCATCACAATGTAAATCTAAAGTACTCACTACATTGCCATAGATGACAACACACGTCACAGTCAACAACCACAGTCTAACCTCAAACAAACAGCCCTAGAACACACACATGCAAGCCTGTGCACACACAAGCAAAGAGAGAGAGAGAGAGAGAGAGAGAGAGAGAGAGAGTACAGACATTACAGCTGTCAGTCAGTGTTTCCACAGTAAAGATAATGAAATATGGCATCGTAAAGTGTTGTGTTCCGACATTACACAACTCAAAACAAGCAAGTTTACATGCTTCTGCTCCATATTACCCTGCTAAAAAAAGAAATCATGACAGATGTTTTAATGGTTTCCAATACAGATACCACTGAAAACATTACATGCCATCAAACTTGAACCACAAAAAGCAGTTCATTTAATGGTTTTTAATATATTCTAATATACTGTTTTCAACATGACACTAACACAAGGAAACAAATACCACCAGAGACCCAATGCATCATTAAAGTTTCCATTAAAACCAATACAAAATATCTGATGGTTTCTATTTTTTTCGCAGGGTATAGGCAGTCATTATAGTATATGCCTCTGGGTTGACATGGATTTGAATGTGTTGTTTTCGTCAAGAACATAAAGATCTAAATTGGCTGTTTAGTGCCTTGGAGTGTTTCTGCCGCATGCTGTTTTTGTTGGTCATTGAATATTGTCACAGTTTCTAACTTGTTGGTGGCGTCATGGATGACTAATCCCATTTCTCAATAGCTTTAGGAACCTAAACAAGGGTGAGGGGGGTGTTAGGTGTCATGCGGGGAAGTTGTCACAAAAGCTAGATTTCAGAAACGATAAGGTTTTGCATTAAAAGGTCAATTATACACATGCTTGTTAGGGAAATGTTGGTTGTAATCAATCTGATTAATGCTAAATAATGTGATAAATATTGTGCTTTTTAACAGTTGGGTAAACAAATGAAAACACACTGGCATACATTTAGCCAATAGTCTATATAACTAACTTATTTATATGAATGCAGAAGTTATAACATGTCATACTGGCAGCATTTTAATTAAGGTTGAAGTTCATGTGTTTTATTTAATTCATGAAAGGCATATTAGAAGTTTTTGAGGGGCAT